TGCAGCATGTGCATTGGTAAAAGTTCAGACATTTTTTTTCTGTTAGTTCTGGATAGACCAATCCTTTTAAAACCACTCCAGTCACCCAGTATTATACAGCAGTCCTTCAGCTTCCCCTCCGGATAAGGCAGCCACAAGATATCTTACATTTCCTGGTACTGAGGCAGTGGCAGTTTTACACACCTATTCATGTAAGTTTTTATAACTGTTTTTAAATATAGTTTATCAAGGATTTTACGCTATGCTGTATCTTTATCTCTCCTTTAAGCTGTATATAATGCATAGTTGATCATTGGATACAAGAGAAAATTTGCTGTGGGCCTGAACAGATGTACATAGCTGCAGGAGTATAGTTGAACGCTAATGACCATTTATTCTATATACCCACATATGATCCTAAGGAGAAACTATTGTGAAGGAGCTAACAGGAAATTATTTTTAAATGGACTTTGACAGCTAAACAAGAATAATTTAGTTGAACTGTTTTATGTGTTCACTGGAAAGTCAAATTAGAAAAATATTAAGTATTATATACCTGCAACAGGTGGAAGTTATCATTGTCATTGACCACACAACTAGTTTGTTGACATTCACCGCAACAATCATATTTGCTCGCCTTCAACTCAAAGCCCTGCAATAAGCAAAAAACATAATTTGTTAGTGGCATATATGTTCATACAACTCCTTACTGATGCTGAACAGTCCAGGTCATGTTATATTGCGTATATTTTCCCATATTACACTTACCAGTGGGCATGTTTTGCCGCAAAACACATGCTTGCATATGATCTCAACTCCTGAAGTTGCATTGGAATTTTCTGTGCATGTGCAAGTCTGGCACTTATCAGCGAGCACTGAAGCTCCAGGCTTTAGAGAGAAAGAATCATATTAATAAAATCATACAGGTAATGTAAAGGATAATTGCATGCAATCAAGTATCTATTGTGTAGTTCTGCACACTCTGTTCTGCACAGTTCTGCACACACCTTCTCCTGCTATACAGGCTATTTAAGCATTTTCTCCTGGTAACCCATCCCCCCTCATTTCCAACTAGAGGCTTATCGGCTTCTACAATTAATGCTCTAATTTATGATTATACACTGATATGTGGTCAGAGGTGTCCCTAGTACTTTCACTGCACGAGGTGGGAGGGAGTTTGGAGGGGAGTTGGGGTGACGGATGTCACCCCAACCCCCCTCTACATCATCTCTTCACCCAGCTCTGGGTGATGTCACTGACCAGTGTGTGCCGCGCAGATCCTAGTGATGTCATTAGTTGTCAGGAGCTGGATGGGGGACACCAGTCAGAGCATCCCAGGTTGCTAAGAACTGGGCAGGGAGATGTGTATGGCCCTAATACATCTTCCTGCCTGGCTCTTAGCAAACTGGGAAGCTTTGGCCGGAGAGGGGGTGATAGATAGGCAACAGCCTCAGGCTGCCCCACTATAGGGACTGCCCTGTATTTAGTATAGGTAAACCCTGAATCTATTTTTTTTAGTTAGTGTTGTGGCATCATGGCATATTTTCTTAAGCAAATAATTTGTATAAGTCTCTTGCAAAGTTTTCTACCGGGAAATGCAGTAACAGTACTTCCTGTTGCAGTACTTCCTGTTGCAGGCTGACAATGCTTAGCCATTGCCTCTTACAGTTTGCAGCAGAGTTGTCAGACTATCGTTCACACTCCTTCATTTGTCTGTTGGTCTTTCTGTCTGATAGATATGATTGGGAGCCCCATGCCCAACAGAAAGAGCTCGCACAACAGCCTGACAATTGCAAGGCATTGGCTTAGCATAAACAGTCGGTTTTTTTAATGCTTCATGTGGCAGTGCTTACTTAACGTTTTTTACATGCATAACATTACACTAAGAGCAGTAGAGAGTGCAAAATACATATAATCATTGGTATCAGTCCTTTTCCCAGTGTAGCATGTCATCAAACATAGTTGCACACTCATAGAAGCAAGCCATTTGCAGGACATATTTAGGAAAATATACATAAGCCCAGAATATAGGAACAATACAGGACATTCCTATTGAAGGGAATAAGGGTAACCATTGTTCTGTCCTAGTTTGGCCAAAATCTTGCCCAATATAGCAACTGGAAGAATATGCAGTCTCATACGGCATACACATCACATTACAAGCATATATCGGAAAGCTGGTAAACCACAAACAAGGTACTTATTTATGAAAGGAACAGACAGCTGATACATTTGTCAGGTTCACTGAAAACCCATGCATAATGTAATATTAGAAACTAGCACAGATTTCCAGTAGGAGCATACAAATGAGTAAATCATCAACAGGGGTTTTATTTACTCAAAGAGCTTACCATGTATTCTGCATTTCCGTGTACACAGACTTTCTTTCGGACTGCAAGAAAGCACAGCAGTTATTTTTAAATGTGCATGCTGTTTTTTAATGTGCATGTGAAGACAAGCCATTTTTTTTGTTTTTGCTAGGGAAGGGTAACAATGCCTATCAAGTTATTTTTTGTTGTTGTCTATGTCCAACTGGGTATATTTTCCTTCACTTCCTGTCCTGGAGACTCAACAGGAAATGAGAGAAAATCGATCCAAAGTGAATGGCATTTTCATCTTGTTGCAGGAACTAGTGTTTCCATTGGAGGATTATCGTTTACCTCTTGCTCTGATGACAACTCCACATTTTTGCATTTCCCCTCACTTTCTATCTCAGTGACAATAGTCATCAGGAAATATGGAACTCTCCAGTAGGGAGAAATGGCAACCCAGATGGGATGTAGATGGCAATAAAATGTCACAAAGAGTCTAACCCTTCGCTACTCTTTCCAAAATGTAAAAGAATGTCTCTATATAAACTTTAGAATATTTTCTATGTTTCAGCAGTTCTTTAAATTAAACAAAACAAAGGGGCCGATATATAATAAAGAGCATATTTGTAAAACACATTCCTGTACTTTATAAATGTACCATTTATACCTGTCAGGTACCTGTTCGGGGAAGATGCCGTGTCCCTCTGCGGGGACATAGACGGAGAGGGTATCCAGTGGCACGTCCCGGCTGCGCAGGCGCAGACGGCAGAAGACCCGGTGGGTTGCGTCCCCGCGCGGCATGACTTCATCACGTTGGTGCGGCGCGGTGACGTAATCACGCCGGCGCATGCGCAGTAGCTCGTCCTCGGCCTATATAAGGCGCTGCAGGACGCTCATTCAGTGCTGGGTGATCTTCAGCCAGCACTGGATGTTCCATTCTGCTTGTTCCTGTCCCTGGAATAATCTGAAAAAAGGCTTCATTCGGCCGTCCACGTCCCCGGCCGGGGCCGGAATTTTCTTTGTAGAAAAAAAAGATCATACTCTACGCCCCTGTGTGGATTACCGGGAACTGAACACTATTACCATTAAGAACCGCTATCCTCTTCCGTTAATTCCGGAACTGTTCCAGCGACTACGTTCCGCGACCGTGTTCACCAAACTCGATCTACGGGGTGCTTACAATCTTGTACGGATCCGGGAGGGGGAAGAATGGAAGACGGCCTTCATTACCCTTGATCTCCAAAGCCCAGGACACGGCAAAAAGAGCTTATGATAGTTCCCGCAGAGGAGACTTGACATTACAACCTGGCGACCTGGTATGGCTGTCTACGCGCAACCTTAAACTGGCCTGTCCGTCCAAGAAATTGGGACCCAGGTACATCGGACCCTTTCCTGTGGAACGCCAAATTAATCCAGCGTCCTACCGCTTGACACTTCCAGCAGTGTACCGGATTCACCCTGTCTTCCACACCTCTCTTTTGAAACCCGTCACCCCAGACGTTTTTTCGGACCGTTCCTCCGACATTCCAGATCCTGTCCTGGTGGACGGTGAAGAAGAGTACGAGGTAGAGGCGATCGTGGATTTCCGCAGGCACGGAGGCACTGGCCAGTACCTGATCAAGTGGAGTGGATTTCTCTCAGGTTTAACCCCTTGTACCGTATTGCCTGCACGTTACTGACCCGGCTAGTCTCTCACGCTCCCTTCTGCCTATACCCTTCAAGCACGGCGGATATTCTGCTAGGTCACCAAGTGCATCCCCTGCCTGAAACCTACTGTTCTCAACCCCAGTGGTCATCAGACGGGGTTGCAAGGGAGGTCCTCCTCGTCATCTCGGGCCCACACCACAAACCTAACAATACCACAATAAAGAAGTGCCGAGCAGTATGCACAGTAGAGATCTTTCCACAGCAGGAACAGGTATGGAAAGCTCCCAAAAGTAAAGTCAAGCCCTCATTTAGACAGTTGTCAATGGAACAGGCATCTCTCTTAAATTTCCTTTCACATCATGTTCTAGAGACAACTTTAAATCTACAGAAAATGTTGGTTTTGAGTACACTAGGTTTTAAAAATCCTGAGGTTTATATAAAATAAATGCAACAATAAGATGGAAAATGGGTTTGATGCCCTATTTGGATGGATTCATTGCATATGGGAATATTTTACCTCCTGCATGTAAAAACAAAAAATGACATAGAAAGGCCATTTCTACTTACAGCACTTATACACAGGGCAACAGTGTCCTTCTGGAATACCACCGATAGCTTCATAGCCAAGTCCACAGTTAGGAGATGTATTTGAGCATTTATTGCTGTCACACTCTGCAACACAAATATCCAATATTTAGGATTAGTCAAACTAATGGTGTTCTCAGAAAATATATTACTTAGACATGTATGATCTGATTCCATCAAACATTGGGATTCCAATTCATAGGTAACTAATGTTGGACATCAGGAGTCATCAGATTTTCCAGGTTCAGGACTAACCTATGGATGTTTTCTGGTCACAAACAGGGATGAGCGCAACTGGGAGTTTCAGCTTTGGCAAATTTTAGTGAAAATGTTGTTTTGTAAAGTGTGTTTGAGTTAATGGAGAATGAGAAACAAAAGTGTTTTTAAGGGTGTAAAGTGTTTTAAAGGGTGTAATGGCTGATAAACGTTAGGGAATCTCCTTTCACATAGGGAAACTCCTGATCAACAAACCCAAGTGATTGCAATGTCATATGTTATATTATATGTTATATAAATCTAAAAATGCTTTCTATTAACTATGTAACGGCCCTTGTCAACATGCCTCAATGTGCACATGCAGCATGCTTTTCACATCAGTTTGAGACACTTGAGATCATTTAGAATTGTTTGACAGGGGTTTTTGCTTCTGCATTTCCATAGACGTGTGAGGAAAGAAGCAAGTCATAGCCCGTCAACACTGGCCCTAAGAGTATGAAATAATCAAAGTGTTTGTGATTGAGATCCATGGTCTAATATTTTAGTTTTTTTTAATTTAGGCTAAATACACATTTGAGTGATCCCAGCACCTTTCTCCTGAGTTACTGCATTGTGGCCATTCTTATGAAATTCCTTTAATGCAACCTGCTAGTTTAGATAGGGACTGAGATGAATGTTTATTGGTTGTATTGAATGATCTCCATTGTTTGTGCCTTAAAGAAAAAGTAGTTTGGGGCTCACTGCTCTGTAAATAAGCCTGGTAGGTTTCAATATTATTAGTAAGTATATTAAAGTACATCATTGTTTAGATAAATAGCTTTCTAATGATCTTGGCCTGCTTGACCCATCACAAAAAATTTTGTTAATCAAATTAATTGGAAAGGAACCAATTCGATAATGAGAATCTAACAAGCCTTGGTGGGGCACTACGAAAAATCAATACCATCAACATGCTGTGCATTTCCTGGAAGAAAGGCACAGAAAAAAATTGTAGGCAACACTTACTGCACACTGTCTCTTCACAGCAGATGTCATTGGGATTGTTCTGGGTCACAGGATAATAACCTTCCAGCTCACACTTGACAGTCCTCAACTTGGAACACTTATGTTGCTGGCAAGTGATGCCACTGCCACCTTCCCTGCAGACGCAATCCTGGCAGTTAAACAGGAACTCCTCTCCATACTGCATGGTGAACAATGACCAGAATTATAAGAAAGTTCAACTACAGGTCACATGATTACTGATACAAACTGGTAGTAGGGAAAGGCTGGTGCATTGTTCATAGCAAATCAGACTCTAGCCATTTTTAGAGTTAAAGTTATAAATGGAAAATTGCCCACTCTTTCATATGTTTTCCTCCAGCTTTTGTTAAACAGACATATTTGATTAAGTCTGCCTAAAGTATAGAGAAGATAACACACAAGTCCATGATCTAATAAAATATTGGCATTCCTACCTGCTAGAATGCTCCTATGCCTTCCTTTATTCATAAATAGTGCTAGATGTGGCAATCAGATTTTATAAAATGCTTGTATTTTAATAGTATATCAACTATTAGGCACTGTCAGATGTGTGCCCGGGTCACAAGGGTAAGAGGACCAGAGATTTTAATAAAATTATTATGAGATTAAATTGCAATATATATGACGTGTTTGTAATGTTCATTTTTTCTGTGCACTGCAGCCTTAAGTCACTGGTGGGCAACTGTAGCAGTACAAAATGCAGTGTTATTTGTAGTAGAAAATACATCCACGCTTATGCTAATATCTACAAATATTTTGATCTCTTCCTCCGGAACTGGTCACAATAAGGGGTGGTGGCTTTCCATGGTAAAGTTGACTTCAGTGGGTTAATATGATAGGAGGCATGGAGAACCTTAGCTATGAGGATAGAGTAACTGGATATATTCTCCCTTGAGAAGAAACAGTTAAAGGGGTATGGTCACCTTTTATAAATGCAAAGTTATTCAATAAAGTAAACTTGATCCAAAGTTATTTTATTTAAGATAATTGCAAATGACAAGGGGGAATTCTTTGTGCCAGGGTGAAAAGAGGTTAACCCCAATTACAGAAAAGCTCCTTCACAGTAAAGGTTGTCAAAATAGGAAATGGGCTCCCACAAGAGGTAGCTCTAGCCAGTCTGTAGGTTGCTTCAGAAAAGCTTGGATGTGTTTCCATAAGTGAAATGAGAAATAACACTGTAGATTGTTGATCCGGGGAGTATCCAATTGACTTGAGGAATAGGGAAGGGATTTTTTCTCTGTTGGAGCAAATTGTATTTGTTTTTCTCTTTCTCTGGATCAACTGTGAGTTTAGGGTTCTAAGGATGCAGGTTTTCAATCTTGTCATTTGGTTGAGCTCGATAAAGGTGTCTCTTTTTTTAATGTAGCTATGTAACTATGTAATTATAGTGACCTTAGTGGTCTTTCCATAACAATTGTTATGTCTCCTAAGCTATCAGCCAGAAAAAAAAAAAATGAAATCATAGACATTTTATGGAAAATGACAGGTATAGATCTAAAAACATACCTTTCGTGGCACATTGTCTGGCCCAACACATCCTGAAAGAGACAATAATTTCAGCAAATTTGTTCCATTATCAACTCTTCATAGGTTCACTGTGCTATCATATATTATGCTAGCATATAACTGTTTTACCTATGTGTGTGCACCTTATAGACATTTCTGTATCCTCCTGCAGTAAACAGTATAATGTAATTTGTGTAATTTTGAATAAAAGCTAACCACCTCCCCAACAAAGACTATTACCTTGACATGTATCAGACATATGGGATCGCTAGTATACTTATAGCTATCCTATCCTATAGCAGAGATGTGCGAGCATGCAGACACCCTACTTTACTAATGCCAAAATGAACAGTAACATGCTGAAATGCATTTCACCTGCATTAATCTCCTTTCTGTTACCAGTGGCGCAATATTTCTGGTTACTTGCTGGTCAAGCCAAGGCATAGGTCAAAACTGGTGTGACTGGTGTGTGTCAAAAAGGTCTCCCCCCAAAACCGGATAGAGCCCACTCTTCGTAAAAGGAATTTTAGGGTGTCTCCGTTACTCTTGGCTAAACATCAGCAAGAGGATTGAGGGAACTGGACATTTATGTTGATGAGTTTGTTCTAATGGTATTATTATTATTTTTTACACTCCGCTTGCAATATGACGACCCCATTACCTTTTCAAATGGGGAAGGTAACTTACAAAAACTTTTTTACATTTTTCACTCCTCCTAGACTGTGTAGTTACAGAAAAGCCCAGAGCCCATCTGTAGTAAGCTGATATTTGGAGAGTTTTAAGTTGTTTAACTGAAAACTAATAATACATAAATAATGGAACTAATAATAACTTTTGAAAGCTACAAAAAAGTTTTATATGAATACAATATGGATTAAACTTCCTCAAGTCATCCTTGCACAAGGCATATTCTTAGGGGGTGCACTTTTACTCTAAAGCAGCTTGTAATGCAGAAGTCATAGATACAAATGCTGGCTGATTAGGTGTTCAGATAGATGCCTTCTTGTTTGTGTGGTTCAAGAAGTAAAATAAAATAGAAAAGTACAGATTCCTTACCACAAGTAGATACACAAACATCCACAGCAAGATTGAAGGGCTTGGTACCCAGAGGACAGAAGCATCCTTCAACCATACGTTTATCATTCTTCATTTGCTCAATCTCTTCCGGACTGAAAGATAAGCAATCATGAATCATGTATCTTGTGTGCAGTAGCAAAGTATTTACAGAAGATGAAGAACATCCACAATAAAAATCGGTTTCCTCTAAAATATTGGTATTACACACTTACGTAGTTTGGCATGTCCTTGGTATGGCTGGGCCGCATGCATTGTAGACTTTGTGTGAAGGGCAAGTAAGAGCTGTAAGAAACATGTTTAGGATATTTTTTGTTAATAAGTTAAAAAAATTATAGTAATATAACATTCATAGTTTTTTGTCACTAGCTGAAAAAACAAATCCATATAGCTGCACAATGGCACTTTTCCCATACTATGTGTCAAATACACTAGAAGTTACTCAGAAGCTGGATGAATTGAGAAGTGTAAGGTAAAGAATGAGTTTGCCTAATTACTCCCTCCTATCTTAAGTGTAAACTGAGAGAGGTAAAACATTTCTCCAATTGGTAAATGTCCCCATGGCAGTGCCCAGCTTCCCATGACTTGCGATTGATATAGCTTGCCTAATAGACCTACAAATAGCCAGAATTGAATGACAAGATTTCCCTCTACCCCGCCCCATAGATTTTAGTAGAGTTTACCATCACTTCGAAGAAGAGTCACTGTTCACGAACAGAACCTGGGCAGATTCACTCATCCCAAGTTATAAGTACAAATCATGCAATAAACTGTTTAGTGTCACAGAACAAATAAATAAAAAGAGAACTTACAACATTCTGAAACTTTATCTCTCCATTGAACACAAACTCCGTGTTCAGAACAGAGTTGAGCGTATTGCTGCAGACTACTGCATTCTATGTTGGAGCTCTGTACATGGCAACTGTCATAAACACAAGCTTGGTAGAAATTTGCTGGTGGCAGAGTCTTGTGGCATTCCTGGAATGTCCTTTAAAAAAGAATACAGAAGAAGGTTTAAAGAATGATTCTGGTTTATGAGAAAATGTGATTATTCTATTTGCATACTGGTATGATATTGGCTTAGTTAAAAAGTAAAATAAAGTAAGTGCCCTTCCTCCAGTCAATTCTACCCAAAGTTTTCAATGAAAGTTACAGTTTAAAGAACTCTTGCTGTGCTCTCCCTAAAGAAAATTGCCTTCCCAGAAATCCTGCTTCAGTGGTGCACCATGTAACAAATGTGCATTTGTAAAACAATAACGACATGTATTAAAAATGCATAAACCTAAAATATATAACTACAATTGACCTTAAACCATTATCCTTTCACTCTTAAAGAGAGCCTGTCACCAAGCATTTGTGTTTTTTCATTTGTTTAGCTGAATTCATAAAATTGGTAAATTGAGAGACAAATTGTGAGACAAGTGCTTAAACTGTTCCTACAAGGTCATACAAGTATTCACAATAGCAACATACAAAAAGATGGTGCCTGTACCCTGCATATACTTTTGCTAATCATTTTCTGTGCACATGAGGCACACCTTGATCCTGGAAGCATGCTAAAAAACCAGATCCTGACTTCAGTGCTAAATCCTCTCCCCTAACTAAGCCCTCCCTCACAGCTAATCCCTCTCCCATAGCTAAGCCCTGTCCTTGTCATTTAACAGCCTAACGCCAAAAGCCTCTACTAGCTAATACATTGTTGGTTGGGTTAGAGCTGCATCTCCAGTAAGGAGAGGGCTTTAATTCTTTTTTTTAAGCATGTACTTTTTATTAAAGTATTCAAAGAGTACAAACATTGTCTCGAGACAAAAACTCGAATGCAGATATACAAAACAGGACTAGTTTCAATCACTAAACAAACAGTCTTTATAAAGGTAGACAGATAACTACTCCATATGAGGGCATTGTTCGTGAAGGGCTTTAATTTAATAATGTGTCAGAGTCACTTTAAAAACAATGAGTGCAATTTGAAAAAATTGTTTTAAAATTCTCTGTTAGAGATATTTAAAAAAATAAAATGCTTACTCTCCCAATATGAGCTCGCAGAGTGGAGAAGGTTTGCAAGGAGGCCCAGTGACTTTGGGGGGAACTGTGGGCTTAATCCTGCCACATGTAGGTTTTCTTGGATCAGCTACAACCCAGGTATCCGCCATAATTTCACAGTTTGATGCAATTTCACCGCTACTTGTCAGGCAGTCATCAGTTCGATTGTTTGTACAAGTACCTAAATAAGAAATATACAGTCAGGTAAAATGTCACATGTATTTGTGTAGTAATGATAAGATATGGTGCAGAAAAGTGCCCTTTGTTCTTTTTATAAAATTGCAGTTTACTTGTACTGTAATCTAATGAACCTTTATCTTTATGTGACCCTGGAAACCTTTTAGCTAAATAACAATAAAAAAAATAACAATAAGCAAAAAGTCACAAGCAGAATACAATTCACATATCTCTGTTTCATTTCTCAGTTTTTACACAGATTGATATCAACTAACCAGATTTATTATATTTCAACATATGCTTTACATGGCCGTAAACTGGAAAATTATATGATTAATAACTATGACTTCAAATTAACATAAAATATGTGCCACAACAATTTACATGCCTGTAGCAGCATTATATCTGCATCATGTGCATGATTTTTCCATATATGGCATTAGTGGAAATATGCTTTTAGAGACTTTTTGGTTGATAAATACGTTTTGCTGTGTAAAAATCCACACGCACCTGGTGCGTGTGTGTGTTTAGGTTAGTAAATCACCCCCAAAGTGGTGGAGTGGTGGGCTTAATCTAAACAAAATCTACTAAAAGGAGCTCTTGTAAACCCATTTTCAACCTCTACACCATCACAGTACAAAATGTGGCATTATTTCTGAGAAATATTGCTATAAAAATACTATTGTATATGACTTCAAGATAAAAGTATAGCTAAAACTCAATTAGGAACATGTTCAATGTTGAACTTGCTAATGACCACTAGATAGAAAATCTGCAGAAGTTTTAATAATTTTGTCTTAAGTTCCAACACACAATCGCACAAATTTGGTTGAAGCACTGCCTCTTTCACAAAGATGTTTGGGTTTGGAGCTGTTTTTTTTGTAAACGACTCTCAGGAAAAGTAATAAAATTACCTCTCCCTCTGATAACCTGAAAAAAAAAGTTAACAATAATCTATTTTGCAAATATAGATCACAACAGAAGCTTACCACACTGTCCTTGGGTATTGTGTCGGAAAAGACGATATGGGAGTTTGATGGAGAAGGACATGCCGTTGTATGTGATATTAACGCCTACTTCTGGGATTTCTACCACATAATTGATACCAGATCTATACACATTGACCCCATACTTCTTATAAGGGGTTCCTACAACTTCTTCGTTTACAACAACCTAGGGTCATCAGGACAAAACAAGACATTAAGGACATTTTTCAATAGAGTTGTCAATAGTAGCTGTATAAAGCTTTGCAATCTAGTGTCTAGGAGGAACTATCCTGCAAAATAATTTTCTCTGTTAGCTTCTAGTGTACCTTTGGAGACTCAAAGTGAGAATCTCTTTGGTTGACCTGAACAAGCAGAACATTCCTTCCTTCAGACATTTAAGGCATCTATATCCTTGCACATTTGGTAAACTTTAGTTTCTATAAAGGATGTTCTAAATGAACAATGAAATGGGTTCTATGGTTATCATGGTTGTCATCTGTTTTAGGCTAAATTAGTTTTCTGTTTATCAGTACTGGTATTAAGTGCTGAATCGGTGAGAGTATTTGCTAACTGCTGTAAGCTTAAAGTGTATTTGTAGCTAAAATATTTTTTTTTTTCAGTTTTGCCTAGAGTAAGGAATGGTTAGACTACTCATTCCTGATTTTTCTTTTTTGCTGTCTGTATTTGCTTAGGGGGATTTCTGAGGAAAAAATTAAATCTATCCATAGCTCTCTATATAAATGGCCCATAGATATATGTCACTGGAACAGGTGTCCTCAATGGGAGATTTCCCTTCTCCTCCTGATTAGGGATGAGCCAAACACCCCAGTGTCCGGTTCGTATTTGAACCTTCGAACGGCCGAAATGTTCGAGTACGAACTCGAACTCAATGCAAGTGTATGGGGGTTGAATGTTCGACCCCCATACAGCTGCCGGTACATGTAGGAAAACTGTGGCTGCAGCGGCCTGTCCCCCTTCAAATCCCCGCTGCTCTCCGCGCCTGTGTTGGCGGAGACACAGACCGCTGCATGCCTTCGCTGCCCCCCTTACCTCCGCTGCTGTCCCGGCCTATGGTCCCCTGGTCCATCCGCTGCTGTTCCGGCCTCCGGTCAGGCCCCTCCTCCGCTGAGCCCTGATTGGGCAAAGTCTTGCACCTGACCTGTGGGCATTTTGCATTATGGAATGTCTGCGGTCGAACACACCGAGAGCATCACATAAAGTTTGGCGTTCGGCGAGCGCTCAAACTGCCAATGTTCGATTCGAACTCATGTTCGAATCGAACACTCGGCACATCCCTACTCCTGATCTGGGGACACCTTTCCGTCCTGGGGACAATGGTCATCAAGACAAACAGAGGATGAAAGTCATTACGGACACAGATATCAAAAGTGATAGAGGTTCTCACACTTGTCCATTTAGCCACTCTATTCAAAAACTTTACAAAATTTTAGGTTTTAGATACACTTTAAGCTATCAATTGAGGAATAATGGCTAGCGACTCTCCATATTCTTCAGAGAAATCTACTAATCAGAAAGTTTGAAATAGCAGGAAAATCCCGCTTGAGCTAGGATTCCATTACCCATAAAATATCTTGGGATTGCGTTAAGATTTTGCAGTGTTTTGTTAAATAAAAGGAGAAAACTCTTATTATGTAAAATGATTACCTTGTTCCACCTTTATTTGGTAGGAAATACAGGTGATTTGCATTACATATAAAATTATTGTTAGTTTCCACTAAATTGTAAGTGTAGTAATGCTGAATATTCAACCAATATAATTAAAACATATGGATATACTACCTGTAAGTTGATAGGCACCATGGTCTTTGCTGCAATGCGTATTGTCTGAGTTTCATGGCGGACAATGATGTCACGTGGACAAGATACTCGGTCCTGAGCTCCACAGTCATAGTTATCAATATATATTCCAAAATTATCAATCTTTTTTGTAATCTCTTCCACCAGAGTATAAGTGCAGCTGCCTTGATAGCTATAGTAGGTGCCATCAAATGTGACATAGTGGGGGTCACCCCAACCAGTGCAAACACCTAGATGACAGAATGAACGTTTGCAATTATCAACTGGCTGTTTACCTTTTTGCATGACATATAACCATTTCAATTTTTTCACTTTATTCATTATTTTTAAATCTTACATTTGATAAATTGTAAATCTCAAATCTCAAATATACATCCATTGCACTTAGATGTATTAACATGTTTACACAATCTTATACCTATTCTACAGTTATACAGTACATTATATGCTTATCACCCATCAGAATGATATTACGATTTTATAACCGATGTATCAGTCTAAATTGTGCTAATCATAACAATTTTTCTTTACCTGTGATTTTACCCTATGTTTTATAATTCTTATGGAATGTAAACATTGATACATTTTATGACTATAAAAAATTACTCGGTTTTATTTAAATTTTAACCTAATGAAGGGGGGTTTGCGTTTAACGCTCTTAACACGTTGGATGCCAACTAATAGTGTACTCATTTATTGTGACAAATAACAATTATATCTGCATGGCCCCCTGCTGCACCACACCGCCTCGGGGACTTTGCAGTATAACAGCAGACACTAGATGGCTAGCAGACACTAGATGACTAACGATCTGACCCGTTAACAAAGGGATGCCATACCTGAGACAGCTCCCCGCTCTTAATTAAACATCAACTGCATAGATTGCGCCTCAAGGACCCCAATATCCTGCCAGGCTGCAGCGACATTAACAATAGAACAAAACAAACTTCAGTCAGACAATGCAAAAATGCTGCTTCCATGCTGCTGACTCCTTCTGGATCTGGAACTTTCTTCCCTGAGGGATCCGCCTACACTCCTCCTCTCTGCAATCAGGTAAGTGTCCCATCTTAACCTCCCTTATTGCTAGGGACAAATTAACCCTCGCAGAACCCCTTTTGCCTTTCTAAACCCCTGTCATGTAGGCCTTACACAGACGCCTCCGTCTGCTGTTCCAGGCCTGTCTGGTATGACATTTCTCTGGGGTAACTTTGTCATTGTTTTGGTACCTTAGTACAGTGGTCCCCAACCCCCGGGCCCGCGGACCGGTACCGGTCCGTGGATCAAATGGTATCGGGCCGCCCAAGGAACATTAAATTATTTCCATTTTATTTACTGTGGTGTACTTCTCTCGGGTTTGTCTGACTTCCAGGACGAGAGGTTAACCGGGAGCTGAGAGACGTCACCTGAAGCCGCACCAATACCGCGCATGCGCAAAATATCGTGATATGCAGTGGGCGGGTGCATTAGCTAGTTTGCTATTGGCTATTGCAAAGTGCAATAGCCAATAGGAATCTAGCTATGCAATCGTATGCCTTTTTTTTCTTTTCTGACTGACGGTCAGGCCGCGGCTCCCGATGTCAGAAAAAAAAACGATCGCAGGGAAAGGTTTAATCTACTCGATTGAGCAGATTAAACCTTTCCGGTAAAAAGTGTTTATCTCCCGGCCGGGATGTGTACTCACCGGCCCAAGCAGCTCCATCGGGTAAAGAAGGGAAGGGGGAGGAGTCCAGTGACGTCACGGACATTGAAATCACCGGACTCCTCCCCCCTTCCCTTAGTTAGCCGACAGCCACTTGGGGAAGGGAGGAGGAGTCCAGTGACGTCGATGTCCGTGACGTCACCGGATCTCCGAGGGAAGACCCGAGGGATTAATCGTTAATTTCCGCAGCCCTACAAAAAAGCACCTTAAATTTACAAACAAATATTGTGGGGCTTGTGTTTGGATCCCAGATGCTTGGATGCCTTAGTATTATTGCACAGTCAAACACCAAAAAAACACAGATTGTATGTTTGTATTAAATAGATAGGTCAAAAAAGTTACTGAAATTATGCAAATGAAAAATACTTACAGTCACACTCCCAATGCCAGCAACATAGGTCATCATCTAGTACTTGTACTGGTGCGAAACCGCTGGCACATTTTATTGGAGGTGGAGGGATACACTTGAGTTCAACTATCTCTACTGTGTTGTTTTCAAGACATCTAGCCATGGTGCAGTTACACAGCATCCAGGTTTCATTATGCTGGAGAAACAAAAGGACCCAGAATTGTTACTGTCAGTAAAATATTCCTCACAAAACTGTTTGCTATAATATACCACTGTGCTGGATAATATCTGCATGACTTGTTTATGTTTTTGCATCATCCATTGGATACAGGCCAAGGATACTAGGCCAGGATCCACAGCCATATAATACATATGTGTTGATTTAATAAATGACCCAGGACTATTCACTTATCAAAGTAAATATTAATTTGGAAAATCTCCACGGAGCTTATTGTTATAAGGTTAATCTGTGTTCACTTCAATGATCCAAACGGGTGCTAGCAGAAAATAGGGTTTTTGTATTTACTGTAAAATCATTTAATTTGAAGTCTATTGAGGGCAAATGGTAGGATTATTAGACAACTTGGTTATGCTGCCACATAAGGACTGTAAACAAAAAATCTGTAAACTAGCCTCACACACACACACACACACACACACACACACGCATACATCAGTATGCGTCAGTATTTTGCTTAAGCATAAGAGGACTGGGAACTCTGTTCCTAAATGGACTTTGAGAAAGAGACTTTGCAGTAAGTAATAAATCCTACTGTCTCTATTGTTCATTTAGGGACACGGGATTCTAAACAACTGAGACATCCAAAATCAGTCTAAAGAAGGGTGGCATCACAGGCTAACAGGCATGAGAGGCTGAGACACCCACCTAGTAAAACTCAGAGAATGTTTGAACAGAGGACCAGGTAGCAGCCTTACAGATCTGGCGCCAAAATACAGCAGAAGCCCCCACAGTTTTAAAGTCTTTTAAACAGGATAGTCAATACAGAGATCTGACCCTTGATGGTACTAAAAGCCAAATGCTGTTCCACACCCAGCTGAGAGAATGAGATAATTCATCGCACAGAGAACTTCCTGGGGTGAAAGCTCTTGGACTCACACCACCTAAAGTATACCTTTCAAGTCTGATGATACACCATAGAGAAAGTGGACTTGCATTAAGCATCTTAGGGATGACTGAGTCTGAATTGCCCATCTCTTAGATCTTGGGTTTCAAAAGTTATACCATTTAAGCTAGCAACTGGGAATAAGGTTGAAAGCAAGTCTGGACAATCTGGATGAGCCCACGGTGTACCTGCAAGTAACTTTAAAATATCTGTGTACCACTCTCTCCTGGGACATTTCGGTGCTGTGAGGACCATCAGAAGGCCCTCTTCCTCAATCCTGTGGGGCAGGTGACAAAGTAGTTTCATGAGAAAAAATGCATAGATCAGAGTGTAGCAATCCCACCGAGCCACTAGTACATTTACTACCTCCACCAGCAGAACCTCGGATCTGGAGACAAACCTGTCTAGGTTGGTGTTAAATCAAGACACTAGGAGATCCCCATCCAAAGTCACCCAAAAACAACAAAGGTCCAGGAACACTTCCTAGTTCAGGAACTACTCCCCCAGATCTAAGAGCTACCGGCTAAGAAAACCTGCCTGCCAAGTTTTCATGCCAGGTATGTACACAGTGGAGATGGCTGGAAAGTACCACTTTGCCCAGGCCAGAACAAACTCAAACTCTCTTCCCCCAATGAGCCTTCTTGCTCCTCCCTGATGCTTAACATACATCACTGCTGGCATTGCTTGACTGGGTCTAAACTGGATGCCCTGCCAAAAGATTGGTCCAGTACTAAGAGTGGCCTGTTTAAAGACAAGAGACATTTTTTCCATGACAACCGAGTATTCAGCTGTGGAACTGAGCAAAAGCAACTGTTTTCAAGTCAGCCACTATCAATGGGATCAGTGGGATAGCCCACCAATTAACCCAAGATATTAACGGTGTACAGAAAAAGTGGATATGTGTATATAGCAAGCACATGACGTTCAACAGTTCAACGTATGGGCTATCTGTTCCATGTGATTCTGGACTGCACAGTAGACCCTGAGAGTACAAACATGAACCAGGACAAAGATTTGAGCTGTTTGTTTGTGGGGTCCATAAATAAGAGAGCATCCTCCACTGCAAGGGTAGTCACCATGTTGAAACAACAGTGTCTACTGATGGGGGAGTAGACCACTTCTGCAGAAAATGTCTCTGCCGAATGGTAGGACATAATGAAGAGCCTAGGAGGGGGAAACTGTTTGAGGTGTTTCCAGTTCTTATACATAAAATCATTAATATGTGGTTGTGGTTAAGAGACCAGCATGGCCTATAGCAGTCAAGGCCTGTCAAAGAGCAAGTTCCCTCCGAGCTGGGGGTGATAGCAGCAGCCTGCGAGTACTCTGGGGAGAGATCCTCACCTAGAGACAGCGGGGATTTAGAGCTAGAAAGAGAGTCATCCACCAGCATGCCAACAACAATCAAAAAAGCTTCCCAGTCCTACTCAGACACATCAGAAAAGGGTACAGACTGTTTTTTAGAGGCCTATACAATCAGTGGTAGTCACCAGATACAAAGAAACATGGAAGATCAGCATCAGAAAAAGACCAAGTGGTCCATACAGTCTACCCTTTTTTAACAGTGGGATTTTGTTTGCTTTTTTTTTGGTATTCTTTTTCTAATCTTTTTGTTTGAGTACAGACCTACAGTATCACTATTCCAAGCATGTTTAAATTCACTTACTATTGAGTGACTCATTACCTCTGCTGGAAGTCTAATCTAAGCATCCACTACTCTTTCAGCAAAATAAAAGAAATTACTTTCTAAGGTTAGTTTTGAACCTTCTTCCTTCTAGTTTAAGGTCATGTCCCTGTGTTTTTAATCTCAGAGTCATATAGAAAATACTGCCCTCCTGAACCTTATTCATAACAGGGCCATGTTACAAACACTTCCAGGAATAACCACTCATTTTAACTCCTTTGTGTCATCAGCAACAAGGCATACCTTACCCACCAAACCTTCAGTTACATCACCTACAAACAGATCAAAGAGAACAGGATGTAGTAGAGAAACCTTTTGTACACTATTAGGGACATACCTCAGTTGAAAATAAACCCCATTTACAACTACACTCTGATATCAATCTTATAGCTGAGTATCCAGTGATCCAACCAATGGTTAGGTCAAGGTTTCTACAACTTTATAAGATTGCTATGTAAAACCATATTGAATGCTTTGATAAAATGAAAAAAGGCTCCAAAGCATGTGTGCAGTGCCTCCTTTAATGGAAGCAGGAACCTGAGAAGCACTAGAGCACTAGAGTCAGCTGCAACTGCAGAGCACTGCCCCATGCTTAGAGTCAGGCATAGCATGACCGCAATAGAAGAACAAGCTCAGGGTGTGTGTTTTTTTTTAAATTTGTCTCACAAGTCCTGTTATTAGCAGGGTTATTCACAAAAGAGTGAAGAGTTTGGAGAAGGCAGGAGAAGTGAACAATCTAGGACAACAAAGCGGAACTGGAAAGTGATTTGAATTGGAAAATCTTTCCAAATCAGCTATTTTGGCCTAGATTGTTCACTTCTCCTGCCTTAGTGAATAACCCCCTAAGTATTTAAAGTGTACTTAGCTTTACCTTATTTACTAAACAAAGTAAAAATGAATTACTCAAAGTGAATATTATTTTTTTTAAGTGAACAGTCACTACTCCTTAAGTTATTCAACCACAATAAGTTTTACAATTCTAGATACAGTAAGTGGTCTAAAATAATATTCCATTGATCTCAAGGAAATGCCCTGTCGTTATTTTTTTATTTCAGAATGTTTATTATATCAAAAGGATCTGTATATATCAAAGAAAAATAACATTATATACTACACACATATTGTATCTTAAAGAAGTACTAGTATAATTTACAAATGCATATAGCCCAACTCCCACTACATGTGCAGAAATAATTTACACTATTTTAGGTGCCCTTATGAGCGCTGTATACTGTTCTTTTCCATTTATAAAAGATTAAAGAACTTAAAAAAGGTTAATTTTATATAACCAAAAATCATACCTATAACAGTCATAAACCCAGATAGCAAGCAACTGAGCTGCAAGTTTGAAAATGACTTGCTAAACTATTGCAGACTTGGCAAGCTTCCCAATTTTGTTGCACAATTACAGCAAGTCTGCATTGCAAGTCTCCAGACCCAGACCAGTGAGCTTGCAGAGCTCTTGCTAAGACCTGCAAGACTCTTGCTGTAGACTTGCCAAGCAAATTTGCCACAAATTCAAAAAGTGTCAACTAGAACTTGTGCTGCAAGTGTTCTGCAAGTCTACAGCTTGCCAGGAATGTGTATAGCAAGTTAACAAGAATTACAATTTAACCCTGCCACTTGTTTGTGGCAAGTTATCCTTGCAATCTGGGAACTTTTATATTAGCCTATCATGCGATTGGCCATTTTAGGCTAAATTAGGCTTACTAGAAATAACGTATTGCTTTCTTCTATAAGGACAGTGGTCAGAAAGTCAGCTGAGTCTGAGTAATGCTAAAGCACACAAAGACATTTTAACCACTTCAAGACCAGGTGTTTAGACCCCCTTCCTGGCCAGGCCATTTTTCAGTATTCAGCGCTTCGGTACTTTAATTGACGTTTATTCCGTCATGCAACGCTGTACTGAAATGAATTTTATACCATTTTTTGGGGACAGAGAGCTTTCTTTTGGTGGTATTTAACTATATTAAGGAAAAATTATTGAAAATTTAGGGAAAAAAACTTTTTTTTTCCATTATATTAGGAAACAATGATTATTACACATATTTTTGGTAAAATATAAAAGACGGGGTCACCTCGGGTAAATAATTGTAGAAATTTCACTAGCTTCCCCATACAAACGATCCGCCAGGTCTATAACCGGCGGATCGCTTGTATATAAACGCTGCCTGTTTTCAAATATTGGTATTTGCCGCTCGAGCGCGGTTGGTGGTTTGCCCGCTCAGATCTGGAGAGCTCCTGGCCGGCGTTTTTTTTACGGCCGGCCGGGAAGTGGTTAAACAAATGTGTGCTCACAGCTCTGTGACCCCATAGGTAAGACCTTTTCTGCTTCCAGCGTGATGTTCTGCAACAGAAAATCATGAATGCTACGACAAGTTTTGTGCGTGGCATGTAACCCTGCTGAACAGGGAATGCCTATTAATCTCATCTAACATCAGTACCTGAGATCACAAATGCTCTTATTGGCAGAATGGGCACAAAAAAGTAGTAGAAACATACTCCAACATCTTGTGGAAAGCCATTTCCTGAAAAGTGAAGGCTGTTAAAGCTGTAAAGAGAGGGGTAACTATAGTAATGACCATGGTTTGGGTTAAAAAAAATTTCAACCAGCTCTTACAGGTGTGATGGTCAGGTGCCCACAAGCTTTAGGCCATGTAATGTATCTTTATAGTGTATATACAACTGTCAATGTAAGTATTTAAGTTGGAAGTTATATAAACTAAGATGTAATTATAGTGGACCTAGCATCAAGTATATATTTTATATGCAGGCCATTCACATCTATATTTTAGGTGCGATAAGGGATTCCTGTGCCAAGAACTTCCTTCAGCAGGAATCGCTAATCTGCCATTTACAAATGACAGCTGTCACCCATTCAATTTAACGACGGGTGACAGATTATTTCTGTATCCCCTGCTGTTAAAGCATATGAAAATGTAGTGGCTGGGTGTTATGGTAAGCTCAGAGTACCTGTCAGGGTTTACCGTTCTCCTCTGAGAATCCCAGCTAGGATTTCCGGAAGATCCGCTACTACCTCTAATGGATCTCATAGGACCCAGGCCAGTATGGCTAATAATAGCCTCAGATTTCAGACCAGGACATCCAGTGTACCCTGAGGTGAGGCTGGGTGTGTCGCCTCTGATTCTGAGAGGTATTTAAGCATTAGCTCTGCAAGGAGCTGGTGCTGTGTCTTTTTGCCTGCTTCCTGTTTGTAAAAGAGCTTAATACTTCTGTTGTTTTCTCGTTGCTGACCCAGACTGTATGACCCTTCTTCGCTTGCTGCCTGCCCTGATCTTCTGCCTGGACCCGACTATGCTCTTGTCTTCTGCGTTTATCCTCTGATTACTCGTTGCTGACCTTGGACCATCCCGACCACCCTCTGCTGGCCGTCTGCCTTAAACTCTGCCTGGATCTGACTATTGTCTCCTTATTGGAGCCCTCCTGTTCTCATCCATCCCTTGGCAGGGCAACCCTGGGAACCCTGACCTGGAACCAGCAAGCAACCAAGCCCATCTCCACCATCAGGAACTCTGGTGAACACCGGTTGGTACTTAGACTCCACCCCTCAGGTAAGCTCGTGTCACCCGCCAGGGGCTGTCACCCTAACACTGGGTTTACATCTACTTTAACAAACTATGCTTGAGTTCTTCAAATTGCAAAGCTGCCTGTGTACACCAAAAAATGTTTTTTTAAGGACCAATATCTCCCCACAACAACTGATTGATAGCTCTTCAATTGTCAACACCTTAGATACTTTCTTCTATGTATTTATTGATTTATTTTTGCATGGTTTGAAAGAAAAAGAAAATGGGTGCAAGAACAGTGTGCACCTAAACCACTTCACATTACATCACACAAATTCACCACACCCCCTATCCCCATAGTTTAAACCAAATTCAGGCATACACCAGTTATTCTATTGTTCCTGATTAAAACTCTCCTGCTGCTGGACAATTTTAAACAGTTTTGTCCTCTGCAGCATCTGCATTCTTGTAGTAAACTCCAGCCTGTGGTCTGTGTCTCTAGTAAATTGTTCCTAGCATTATTCAATACATTTCTCTCGAGTTCAGGCTGTTATGTACCCACCCCCAGCCTGTGCCTGGACAGTAAAAGAATGATTGATTGGGTGATGAGCTCATCTCTTTGTCATTCTGCGTTCTCCTCCAATCAGAATGCACATGAACTGTTTGGCTCCTTGAGCTGTGTCCGCTTCCACTATGAGCTCTGCAGTGCAGGGACTACAAGAGGCTGCTGTCTTGTCAAATTTGAATAATTACACTGCTTGCATTGAAAATACCTATAATAATGCATTACAAATTACATAACTGCATTCATGTGTTTTTTTTATATTTGCCTAGAGGTCAGCTTTAATGTATTATTAGTCTTCAATCAAGAATAACAAGACACACAACTCTAGTAGGTTTGCAACATGCATATTTAAATATTTCAAGATATTTTAGGCAAAGAAATTGCTTACCTCGCGAAAAGGTTCAAATGGGCAGCCAGGTGGTGGCGGAGTTTTAGGGACTGTAGATGGTGTAGTATGTGTTGTTTTTGTTGTTGTGGTGGTGGTGGGGGAAGTGGTTTCTGGGGTTATTGTGGATTCTGTTGTAGGACTGGTCCCTGGTGGTGTTGTAGGTTCAGGTGTAGTTGTGGTGGGTGTTGTTGTTGTGGTGGTAGTGGTTTCTGGGGTTGTTGTGGATTCTGTTGTAGATTCAGGTGTAGTTGTGGTGGTGGATTCTGTTGTAGGACTGGTTCCCGTTGGTGTTGGAGGTTCGGGTGTAGTTGTAGTGGGCGTTGTTGTTATTATTGTGGTGGTAGTGGTTTCTGGGGTTGTTGTGGATTCTGTTGTAGATTCAGGTGTAGTTGTGGTGGTGGATTCTGTTGTAGGACTGGTTCCTGTTGGTGTTGGAGGTTCAGGTGTAATTGTAGTGGGTGTTGTTGTTGGGGTGGTAGTGATTCCTGTGGTTGTTGTGGATTCTGTTGTAGGTTCAGGTGTAGTTGTGGTGGTGGATTCTGTTGTAGGACTGGTTCCTGTTGGTGTTGGAGGTTCAGGTGTAGTTGTAGTGGATGTTGTTGTTGTGGTGGTAGTGGTTTCCGGGGTTGTTGTGGATTCTGTTTTAGATTCAGGGGTAGTTGTGGTGGGTGTTGTAGTTGGGGTGGTAGTGGTTTCTGGAGTTGTTGTGGATTCTGTTGTAGATTCAGGTGTAGTTGTGGTGGGTGTTGTGGTGGTAAATTCTGTTGTAGGACTGGTTCCTGTTGGTGTTGGAGGTTCAGGTGTAGTTGTAGTGGGTGTTGTTGTTGTGGTGGTAGTGGTTTCTGGGGTTGCTGTGGATTCTGTTGTAGATTCAGGTGTAGTTGTGGTGAGTGTTGTAGTTGGGGTGGTGGATTCTGTTGTAGGACTGGTTCCTGTTGGTGTTGGAGGTTCAGGTGTGGTTGTAGTGGGTGTTGTTGTTGGGGTGGTAGTAGTTCCTGTGGTTGTTGTGGATTCTGTTGTAGATTCAGGTGTAGTTGTGGTGGGTGTTATTGTTGTGGTGGTAGTGGTTTCTGGGGTTGTTGTGGATTCTGTTGTAGATTCAGGTGTAGTTGTGGTGGTGGATTCTGTTGTAGGACTGGTTCCTGTTGGTGTTGGAGGTTCAGGTGTAGTTGTAGTGGGTGTTGTTGTTGTTGGGGTGGTAGTGGGTCCTGTGGTTGTTGTGGATTCTTTTGTAGATTCAGGTGTAGTTGTATTGGGTGTTGTTGTTGGGGTGGTAGTGGTTTCTGGGGTTGTTGTGGATTCTGTTGTAGATTCAGGTGTAGTTGTGGTGGGTGTTGTAGTTGTGGTGGTGGATTCTATTGTAGGACTGGTTCCTGTTGGTGTTGGAGGTTCAGGTGTAGTTGTAGTGGGTGTTGTGGTTGTGGTGGTAGTGGTTCCTGGGGTTGTTGTGTATTCTGTTGTAGGACTGGTTCCTGTTGGTGTTGGGGGTTCAGGTGTAGTTGTAGTGGGTGTTGTTGTAGTGGTTCCTGGGGTTGTTGTCGATTGTGATGTAGTTGTGATAATTGTTGTAGTAGTTTCTGCAGTAGAGGTTGGTGGGGTTGTGGTGGTTAATGTAGGGCAACTCCAGCTCTCGACATCTATTTTACATTCTGAGCTGCAGATTACTTTGTAGCACCATGTTTCACTGGCTACCCCACTGTCAATTTCACCTAAAGAGGGAAACAAATAAATCCATCAAAAGCAAATTGATTTTACAAAGTCATATTTTACAAACTTGTCTTTCTACAGTTTGATTTAATTACTAGGATTAAAATATTTGTATTGTAAAATATTTGTTTATATCTTACTGGTGGTTGTGGGGAAAATACTTCAGTTTTTAGAATGAACATGTTTATGCATTAGGCCCTAAGTGCAGTCTGATGTTTCATGTGGTCAACCAATTGAAACTAAAGTTACTCATAAACATTAGGTAGTCTTCGATCAATAGCACCAATTTTTGTAGGATTAGACACTCTACACACACCCGAAACGGTGGTAGATCTATTTGGGCTACCATCTTTGAAGGAAAAGGTCAGTGTTTAGGTTGTAATAATTGCAAAAAACTTGCGCTAATGGAAATACTAAGAATAATACAATATGGATAAAAGTTGGATTGGATAAAACTGGATGAAAATAAATAGATAAAAATAAATTGTTCTAAAAGGGTAGTGGAAGCCGCTGAACAAAAGGCACTCAGCCCCTATTAGGATGTGGTATTTCAAAACGTACAGCGCTAACCGTCCTTCAGAGGTGCATATAAGAACTCCGACGTTCAGGTCAGGATTTAACAAGTGCTAAAAAATTAATAATTAATAAAACATTCAGTGAAGGGGTGTGTCTCAAAATATTCAACGTGAATCGGTTGTGTGAACAAATAAAGGTCATAACACATCAAAACAGACAATATATAAACTTATCTAATAAAATGTAATAAACTGTGAATATATGTATCATGTGAAAGTGATTCTTGTTAATAAATAATGAACGTACAAACAATGTGTACCATTTGAATAAAATAAAATAAAATAAAACTTTTTTACGATGTATGTGTGAATAGTCCAAATCTTTTGTAGTTTTTTTAAAAAGTCTTTAAAAAATCCGTAAATGTAAGACACTTCGAGAGTGAAAATTCGGTGCAATAATGTGTCCAACGAAAATCCCAAAAAAATGAAGAAAAAATGAAGAAAAAATGAAGACAAAAATGAAGACAAAATGAAGACAAAATGAAGACAAAATGAAGACAAAATGAAGACAAAATGAAGACAAAATGAAGACAAAAATGAAGACAAAAATTAAGACAAAAATAAAGAACAAAGTGTAAAAAAAAATGTGGAAAAAATGTCTCGAAGTGTCTTACATTTACGGATTTTTTAAAGACTTTTTAAAAAAACTACAAAAGATTTGGACTATTCACACATACATCGTAAAAAAGTTTTATTTTATTTTATTTAAATGGTACACATTGTTTGTACGTTCATTATTTATTAACAAGAATCACTTTCACATGATACATATATTCACAGTTTATTACATTTTATTAGATAAGTTTATATATTGTCTGTTTTGATGTGTTATGACCTTTATTTGTTCACACAACCGATTCAAGTTGAATATTTTGAGACACACCCCTTCACTGAATGTTTTATTAATTATTAATTTTTTAGCACTTGTTAAATCCTGACCTGAACGTCGGAGTTCTTATATGCACCTCTGAAGGACGGTTAGCGCTGTACGTTTTGAAATACCACAGTGTTTAGGTTGACATGTTTTAGTCAGCTTGATCACAGAACAGTTTAAATTAAAATGGAACTATATATCGTGGACCATGTAAAACAATTACTTTATACAGTGCAGCCTGATATTTTTGTAAGGGCTAAGCAACACTAGTTGCTTGCTTTAACTTTAATTACATCTCACCAATATGTTGGAGACACTGGTGTGCTATAGGGTCACTGATTCATATACTTCCTCACTCCGGTGTTCTATCGAAAGCTCACTGTACAGAGCTCACTGTTTCTGAGCACCAGAGGTAGTTAGAGATCTCAATAGAACACCGGATCCTGCAGCTTCCTCCGCCCACCTCAGCTGCCATAGGCTGGGAGGAAGATTGCAGAGCTGCTACTGGCTGGAAGGTGTCCGGCACGGGAGAAGCAGGACACCTGGGACATGAAGGATACATTGCTTTTTTCTGCATTACACTGCTGGCCTGTGTACTCTGCATCACACCACTGGCCTCTGCACTCTGCATTGTTACTGATCTCTGTTCTCTGTGTCACACCACTGACCTGGCGGAGTTAAGGGCGGGGCACGGTAGGGGTCAGGTGGCGCGACTGGTGGCGAGTAACTCTTAAGGCCTGGCTAGTAGCTCAGGACTTGAAATTTTGAGCCCTGTACTAGGGTACTGCAAATCTTTGAGCTGCATATGGAGATTAGTGTTTACCTTAATTTTGGAAGTTACTCATAGAAGTTTTGAACTCATAGAAGTATTCAATATTTGAATATTTTCAATATTCAACATGCTATCTATTGAAATAATGATGGCTTTGAAGAACGGTTCCTATGCCACATTCCACAAGTGTTGGAGTGCATTGCTTACAAGTGCAAACTCTCTTATATTGGTAATTTCATTTTGTATGCTCTGGATTGATTAAAATTGTGAGCTCCTTGTGTGATGGCAGTAACGTTAAGTGAAACAAATGGCTTAAAAAATAAAGGTAAAAAAACTTTTAAAAAAACTTTTTTTTTAACCACTTGCTGACCCAGTGTTTACACTCCCTTCCTGGCCAGGCCATTTTTCAGAATTCAGCGATGCGGTACTTTGACTGACATTTATTCCATCATGCAACGCTTTGCTGAAATTAATTTTGGTGGTATTTAATTAATTCTGGGATTTTATTTTTTACTATATTAAGGAAAAATTACTGAAAATTTTGAAAAAAAAAGTTTTTTTTACATTATGTTAGGAAACAATTATTATTACCCAGTTTTTTGGTAAAATATAGGTAAAAGATAGGGGCACGCCGGGTAAATAGACACCAAACATGTCAAGCCTTAAAATTGCACTTAACGTTATTGTTATCACATAGGGGGCTAAGAAACCCTCTATGTGATAACAAAGAGGATGTGACAGTTATCTTTATGGAGACATCAGGGGTCTCCAAGAACCCCTAATGTCACCTAGGGACCCCCAAAGAAGCTGATGAAGCATAGATCTGCTTTATCAGCTTCTGAAGCTGAAGAGTGACACAAGAATGCGGAAGTGATGTAACATACATCACTTCCGCATTCTGACACCGGAGAGGGGATCGGAGGGAGATCGTGTACCAATCTCCCTCTGATCCCCTCTCACAAAGCCACCATGCTGGTCCTGGGCTCGCACCGAGCACAGCGGAGCTCGGGACCAGCGGAGGGGGGACTGCGGAGTGGGCGCACAGACCGGCACATTATACAAGCGATCAGCCGGCTAAATTTGGGCAGCGCAAGTGGGCTGGGCCAACAGGACGTCTTTTGATGGCCAACAGAACCTCTTTTGATGGCCTGTTACATCCAGGAAGATGCTGACCATTTAATTACAACAGCCGGCCCGGAAGCGGTTAAAGTCCCCTTCCCAGGCACATGCAAATGCAAACACGTGTCAGGTGTGCCTAAGTACAAAAACAACAATTGTGCCACGCATGTTGTGTATTGCCATGAACTCTAGAGTGAGATCAATAATTCTGAACAATCATTTACTGTTAACGCTAAACTAATAACACAAAAAGGCTTTAGGCCTTTAAAGGGTTGCCTAAGGACAATTTTGTTTACTGTAGTTTTTCACCATTTCACACACATGCAATTTTGAAGCTTGATGCATTTGGTATCTATTTACTTTAAGGAGAACTATGGGGTCAGTGTTTTTCCCCATAGTTCTCCTTAGGGTAACGGGAGGACACAAACTAGCATCCTCCCATCACCCTAAGCTCAGTATACCGCGAGCTACAGCTCGCGGTATACTGAGA